TGAAGTCTTCTTTTGCGCATGCGGGCCGCTTTGAGCGTTCACACTAGAGCGCGTTTGCTGTCGCATTTTATTTGTAGTGTGAACGAGCAGACAAAAAAATCGGATTTGATCAAAAAAATCGGAATTGAGCATCAAGACCTGCAGTGTGAACATAGCTTAAGACTGTAGATATTAAAAAGTCCACAGCAGAGATGGTAGCTGATTAAACAAATATTATGAGATAATAATAAAATGCAATGGAACCATAAGGCAAGAAATTCAAGAGATTAAAAAAATGTGGGAAACAAACTGAAACCAGAATATTAGTAGGGCAAAAGAAAGGGGTGGTCATGGCAGGTATTAATGTAAAAAAAATCTATACACATAAAACACATGCACAGTGACATTTTATACTTTCTCCAGAGTACTGTATATACTGTTTATAACCAAAATATGCTAAGAATTGCGCTGGAAGACACTATTTTGTTAGTCAATCATAAAGAAGTAACAGATGTAAGGGAAACTGAGTAAATGATATTCAAACTTTGGTTTCACATTGGTTTGTCTTATCAAAACATTCTTTGTGACCTCCAAACACAGTCACTGTATATCTTTGGTCTACATTCATGTATTTTCTCTTATGTTGCTGTTGCTCTGTACACAGAGCTGTGTGATAATCTGTTTATCACACTAAAACAAATTTACACCAGGGGAATGTATTTAGGAGACCATATGAGATTATGAAAGGAGATTATTGATAAGAATTTCAGTGTATACAACAGAAATTAAGCTGAAAAATGTTATATTATAAATGTTTTATAAATTTTATATTCCATAATAAAAGCAATTACTGTTTGAATGTTTTATTTGTGAAACTGATTCATTTTACTCAGAAAAGCAGTTAAATTAATTAGATTTTTTCTCATCATTCAGTCACTATTTACAAAATTTAATTGGAAAGTTATTGAATCCAATTTGAGTTTTACCTAAAAAACATAACATTTTCATTTCTTTGGAATGGATATCTTAGTAATTTTTTACTAAACCTTTGCCAGATTGCTGGTAAAGTCATTTTTAACACACTTTTACAGCTGAATTTTATTAATATCTACTTTTGTTTTCTGTTGAAATTGAATTAACATTTTCTGTACATTTTACATAAATCTTTTAAAATTAAAATCTACTTAAATTAAAGTAAATTAAGTGTCACTTTGTTGCCATATGTAACCTCTAGTCACAGATTTTACAGTGCATTTATGTCCACTGTGAGTAACCATCTTTGAACACAGGCGGTGATTTACGACACCAACTGTCTGCCATCTGTAATCCAGTTTTGAGATCCCTTCCTAGATGCCTTAACGCCCACTCACACCCTGGGCCATTACGTATCTCTCCTCATAAATTTCTAGATTTCTAGAAATGAGAACTGCTCCATCCAAAGTGCAATGGATGCCGTTACTCCTAACAAACCCAGGTATTCCCTCCAGAAAGTTTCCCAATCCCATCATGTTTTCACTCTTCTGGACAGAGATTTTGGGTGTTGTTTCTAGGATTTGCTCGAGCTACTTGCCCAACTTAGGGGTCAACTTGGGGTGCTCCCATTACCACTGGAACTGTTTTTGCCTTCAATCTCCACATCTTCTCAAGCTCTTCTCTCA